AGGGTAAATGCTGTATCTCTCTTTTACAGAGAAATGGACAATCAGAAAAAAATAATTTCTCAAGAGCTCTCTGATGGTAGGGAAACTGGAATTGAATCTCCACTTGTCTGCTTGTGAGTTCTGGGTTCCCAACCACTGTCTATCACCTTGAGCCATCAGATGTGTGCCCCCCACCCCACATGCAGTTTTCTGTAAGGTAAATTAGAAGATGTAGCAATGAGCAAACAACTCAAGTAACTACAGTCAATGCCCTGTATCTGAATTGTTGGGACCAGGGAGCAAGTGACCATAGCTGGCAGTGTGGTTGAGGCAGGCTTGCTGGATGCTGTTATTCATTTACTTCTCAGTGGCCAATGAACTAATTGGCCATTAACTGGCTTCTGTGTACAGATCATGGTCCCAATGGCTCTGATTGGGAATAACTCCTCAGATGCGATATTCTGGCTAAAAACTACTAAAGGTCAAAGATACGTGTTGGTCTGTGGCTGACTTAGTCCAATGACCTAGAGGAATGTGAACCCTTTGGACCATAACAGCTGGGGTTAGGACAGGCTTTGCAAAACTAGAGGTCAGGGTTGGCAGTGCAGAGGATTCAGACAATAGGTTGGGACACCACCATTTGAAACTCTGAAATAACCTTCAGTTCAGAAATGAACCTATTAAGGACAATATGTTTTAATGAGTCCATCTTTCACAACAAAAAATTAGTCACTAAAAATACTACTGTGATTTTCTATTAATTGTTTTTTTAAATTTTTATTTACTAAATATAAATTTCCAAAGTACAGTTTATAGATTACAATTGCTTCCCCCCCATAACTTCCCTCCCACTTGCACCCCTCCCATCTCCTGCTCCCTCTCCCACTCCATTCACATCAAGATTCATTTTCAATTATCTTTATATACAGAAGATCGATTTAGTATATATTAAGTAAGATTTCAACAGTTTGCACCCACACAGAAACACAAAGTGTAAATACTGTTTCAGTACTAGTTATAGCATTACTTCACATTGCACAACACATTAAGGACAGATCCCACATGAGGAGTAAGTATACAGTGACTCCTGTTGTTGACTTAACAATTTGACACTCTTGTTTATGGTGTCAGTAATCTCCCTAGGCTCTAGTCATGAGTTGCCAAGGCTATGGAAGCCTTTTGAGTTCGCCGACTTCAATCTTATTCCGACAGGGTCATAGTCAAAGTGGAAGTTCTCTCCTCCCTTCAGAGAAAGGTAAGGTACCCCCTTCTTTGATGGCCCCGTTCTTTCCACTGGGATCTCACTCACAGAGATCTTTCATTTAGGTCTTCTCCCCACCCCCACCCCCATGCCCCCGAGAGTGTCTTATCTTTCCATGCCTAAAATACTCTCATGGGCTCTTCAGCCAGATCCAAATGCCTTAAGGGCTGATTCTGAGGCCAGAGTGCTATTTAGGACATCTGCCATTCTATGAGTCTGCTGTGTATCCCGCTTCCCATGTTGGATCGTTCTCTCCCTTTTGATTTTATCAGTTAGTATTAGCAGACACTAGTCTTGTTTGTGTGATCCCTTTGACTCTTAGACCTATCAGTGTGATCAATTGTGAACTGAAATTGATCACTTGGACTAGTGAGATGGCATTGGTACATGCCACCTTGATGGGATTGTATTGGAATCCCCTGGCACATTTCTAACTCCACCATTTGGGGCAAGTCCGATTGAGCATATCCCAAATTGTACATCTCCTCCCTCTCTTATTCCCACTCTTCTATTTAACAGGGATCACTTTTCAGTTAAATTTAAACACCTAAGAATAATTGTGTGTTAATTACAAAGTTCAACCAATAGTACTAGAACAACAAAAAAAAATACTAAAAGGGATAAAGTATTACATTGTACATCAACAGTCAGGACAAGGGCTGATCAAGTCACTGTTTCTCATAGTGTCCATTTCACTTCAACAGGTTTCCCCTTTGGTGCTCAGTTGTTGCCAATCAGGGAGAACATATGATATTTGTCCCTTTGGGACTGGCTTAATTCACTCAGCATGTGTTCCAGATTCCTCCATTTTGTTGCAAATGACTGGATTTCATTGTTTTTGACTGCTGTATAGTATTCTATAGAGTACATGTCCCATAATTTCTTTATCCAGTCTACTGTTGATGGGCATTTGGGTTGGTTCCAGGTCTTAGCTATTGTGAATTGAGCTACAATAAACATTAATGTGCAGACAGCTTTTTTGTTTGCCAATTTAATTTCCTTTGTGTAAATTCCAAGGAGTGGGATGGCTGGGTTGTATCGTAGGGTTATATTCAGGTTTCTGAGGAATCTCCAGACTGACGATTTTCTATTACTTGTACAATAGGGGTGTGCTAAATTTCAGCTACAGTTTAGAAAAATAAAGATGGAATTTTTGCCCCCTCCAGGTGGATTCTGAATTCTAGCCACAGACCTTCCCTAGGTTCTGTGGAGCCTCTTTGCTTTCATAGATACCCAAATCATCCACCTACCCACTTTGGGTTTATAACTAACATTATACAGAGGAACAGAACCTATCTTCCTTGTGGCTTCCTCCCCCTGACCCCTATTTGCTTTCCCTCCCTCTGGGAACTTGTGCCAACCGTTGTATTAGAACAGAAAGGCCGCTAAAGTCAAGATCAATGTGTTGTTGGGGCACTGAGAACAGGGATGCCAGTAACCAGTATCTCTCTTGCTGCTCCTCACTGTGGAAGGGCATAGCATTCCAGGCCCCAAAGGTCTTGGCACATCAGCTTGTTTCCTTGAGGTCTTTCATCTTCTAAAAATCAAGGTAAGTAATATGCCCTTTCTAACTCAAAAGGCTATTGAGATGATCAGATGAGACCTGTATGTAATAGTGCAGTATAGAGTGCTGTACTAAGATAAGCCATTATTTTACTATTATTCCTCTTATGCTTATCCCTGGCAAACCTGACAACATCAATAATTTCCTGCCTCTGCTCCAGGGGCCACTGAGTCTTACTAATATTTGTCTTCTTGAAGTAATTTTGTTGAAGGTTTCAATTACAGATTCAGCTATGGAATCCACTTGGACAATACACTGGATGCTTTGTTATTCAGTAATTTTTAACCTAGGCCAGACCTGAGCAAAAAACACTTCACATTAATATTTTCCCACTGACTTCATTTTCATTAATTGGCAATTATTTTACCTTTTTTTTTCTTTAGCTGTAGATCTTTTGGGGAGAAAAAGATGAAAGCAGAGCTCAAAAATTCCTTGAATAGTGAAGAAGATATATTACATTACATTCAAATAGTCTGTTCTTTATGTAGCTATAGAAATAAAGTGTGTGTGTTTAAAATTCTATTCCTGTTTATATTCCTTACTAGAGAAAAATCTTTACATATGTTACAGAAAAAAAGCTGGAAGGAAATGTGCCAAAATACTCAGCCAGATGTGATAAAGCACTATTGATTTTTTTCTGCATTCGTTGTTTGCCTTAAGCATAAGCAGAAATAAACGAACAATTTCTAAAAATGGTTCAAAGTAAAAACAAAAAATAGCTGGACATACAAACCTAGTTCAAACTTTATAAAATTGCTTGGCCTCACAGCTCCTTCTTGAACACAATGTCCACAAACAGCTATGATTCCAGAAGCATCCACAGAGTCTGAATCTCAACTTGGGATCTATGAATTGTCCTTTGTGAGGCCCCTCTTGGTTCTAAGGGTGGATCTGAGGGCAAAAACATTGTACGGACCTGAGAGGAAATTTTCCAGGTCCTGGGGAAAGGAGATAAAATTCCCCTCCCCCAAGTGATGTTTTCTTTGGCCACTCTTTGTTCCCCAGACTAACAGAAGCAGATAAAGCTGTGTGGTCCTTCAAGGGGAGGGAGGGGAGCAGATGAGCTCCTTCCTTAGGTTGTCCCTTGACTATGAGTTAGAAGAGTACGGCCTGCAAGGGCTCAGACCCAAGGCAGGGGTAAATGACAAATTCCTGTCACTTCCTCCTTCTGGAGGGATTGCTTTTCTCCAGCCTCCCACTTTCATACTCTGCATAGAGTTGCAAGGGCCTGAAAGTTGGATTGAAGGTCCTTTTTATTTAAAGAAAACAGAAACCAAGGTGGGAATACATTCTTAGTGGTAGCACCCAAATGGCTCTCCTTTTTCTGAAGGCCTGAAAATAAATAGGAGTTTGACAGAACAAAGAAACTTAAATTATACTTTCTAATAGATTTTAGAGTTATCCTGCTCTTGAATTTCATGAAGTAACAAAAGTAAAATTTTACTGTGAGAGTCTGCCTTTCACATGGATGAATTCACCTGTTAGGTTAATATCATCATACCACACAACTCCAGTTCCCTCCATCAACCCAGTGGCTTGTGTCAGTTTTACCATGTCTCCTCCTCCTTTCTTCTATTTAATTTCTTGGATACACACACACACACACACACATATATAGCTTTTACAGCACTTTAGAAGAGTGGTTTATCATTTAAATGACCATATTCCCAAACAATCAGGTAAGAGCTATTTGTAACTTTTGAACCATTCAAATGGATTGTCTCAATTTTATCAATCTTGGGTTGTAATACCTGATAGTTATTTTTTTTTAAAAAAGACCTATTTATTTCTTTGAAAGAGTTACACAGAGAGAGAAGGAAAGGCAGAGAGAGAGAGAGAGAGAGAGAGAGAGAGAGAGGTCTTCCATCCTCTGGTTCACTCCCCAGTTGGCCACAACGGCTGGAGCTGCACTGATCTGAAGCCAGGAGCCAGGAGCCAGGAGCTTCTTCTGGGTCTCCCACACAGGTGCAGGGGCCCAAGGACCTGGGCCATCTTCTATTGCTTTCCCAGGCCATAGCAGAGAGCCGGATGGAAAGTGGAGCAGCCAGGACTTGAACCGGTATCCACATGGGATGCTGGCACTGCAGGCAGCAGCTTTACCTACTATGCCACAGCGCCATCCCCAACCTGATAGTTCTAATTGGAATTTTCTTTCTAATTTTGAACACTTAAGACACCATTTTCTTTTCATTGTAGGAGATAGGAGTAGCACTGTCACACACAGGGGAAAAATGCTCATTTGGGTGTTAGCTCTCCTGCTCCTCTGTGGCTTTCTGTGGAATTACAAAGGAAAACTAAAGATTGCAGACATCACCAATAAGTATATTTTCATCACCGGGTGTGATTCGGGCTTTGGAAATTTGGCAGCCAGAACGTTTGATGAAAAAGGATTTCATGTAATTGCTGCCTGTCTGACTGAATCAGGATCAACAGCTTTAAAGGCAAAAACCTCAGAGAGACTTCACACCGTGATTCTGGATATAACTGATGCAGAGAGCGTCAAAAGGACTGCCCAGTGGGTGAAGAACCAAGTTGGGGAAAAAGGTAAGCAACCTGGAGTAGGGGATGGGGTGTAGGGAGCGAGGAAGGGGGAAGAAACTAAGGCAAAATAAAATGTGTTCAGTGTTTAAATGCCTTTCAAAAAAATGTCTCTTGGGCCTGTGTTGAGGCATAATGGGCGATGCTGCTGCCTGCAATGCCAGCATCCCATATGGGAAGAGGTTTGTGTCCCAGCTGCTCCATTTCTGATCCAGCTCCTTACTAATGCTCCTGGGAAAACGGCAGAGCATGGCCCCAGTGTTTGGGCCCCTGAACACATGAGGGAGACCAGGAAAAAGTTCCTGGCTTTGGCCTGGTCCAGTCCTGGCTATTGTGGCCATTTAGGAAGTAAGATCTCTCTCTCTTTCTTACTCTCTCTGTAACTCTTTCAAATAACTAAATAATTAAAAAAAAAGAAGAAGAAGAAGAGAAAAATGTCTCTTAAATATCAGCTGTGTACCTCACTAATCTTAAGATAGCTTCTGGGTAATTCCAAGTCACAAGCAGCCTGTGCACATGCCACCCAGTCCCAGCTATGCCCAGTCTTATGCCCCAGTGGGCACATTTGGAACTGAGTTGAAGGTCTTCTTCTGTGAAGGACTATTATTGCCACATACACAGAAAAGGAACTTGCAGCTAAACTATAGAAGAATATGAGAGTAATTACAAACCAACATCTGGAAACCTGGGACTCGTTTTTCACTACACACAGCTCCAGAGTCACACATTTTCAATGGGCAAGGTGAAAAATGACCTGAGAATTTGCATCTAAGCGTCTTAGAAGTCATGGTAGAGAAGTGAGCCCCTTGTCCCTCATTTTTAATAGACTCTGCTACCTCAGATGGCTGAATTTTTTAACTAGAAGATTTTTAGTGGATTTGAATGAGGGTTCTCATGGCTAAAAATATTGGGGTCCACAAAAGAAAAAACAAATGTATACTATTTTTCTCTATTGTATCTTCATTTTTGAAGATTTTTGAGATTCTGAGGTTCAAATGCAATGGTTTTTTAAAAAAATGTTTATTTATTTGAAATGCAGAGTGACAGAGACAGGGAAAGACAGAGAGAAAGAGGTTCCATCTGATGGTTCACTCCCCAAATGGCTGTGATGGACAGGGCTTGGCCATGCCAAAAATAGGAGGAGCCATAAACTCAATCTGGGTCTTCCCCATGAGTGGCTGGGGCTCAAGTACTTCGACCATCTTCTGCTGCTTTCCCAGATGCATTAGTGGGGAGCTGGATCAGAAACATAGCAGCTGGGACTCAAACTGGCACTCCAACATGGGAAGCAGGTGTTGAAAGCAACAACATAACCCATAATGCTGGTCCACAGATAAAATGCAATGTTTTGATAAGGCTCCAGATGATTGTGTGTTATTTCAAACACCTTTTACAATATTAGTTTCCCATGATAAAATAAACCAAGTGAATTATTGAATTTTTTTCTAACAAAAAATAAATGGGAAGTAGATTGATATCATTCTTTGTCCATATACATTTAGTAAATACTCTCTGATCCTGCCATCTAGCACAGGAGGGGAAACTAGACCAACTTAACGTACATTTAAGATGAAAAAGCAGAATTCTTACTTGGAGAGTATTAGTATTTGACATTCAGAACTGGAACAGAATAGAATAACAGTAAGAATAAACTCCAGTAACAGACCTTTAGCTATTTCAGCTTAGCTTCCCACTCTCTGTGGTTACTTCTCCAAACTGCAAAGTGTTTCAAAGCAATAATATATCTTCAAGGAAGAAAATGCACCACTATGAAAAGCAGGGGGTATATTTACATTGGTGATGCCCAGATAAGTGCTGCTGTCTACTATACTTCCTTTCCTTCCTATGTGTTCCAGGTCTTTGGGGTCTGATCAATAATGCTGGTGTCCTTGGGATGCTGGCTCCCAGTGACTGGCTGACAGTGGAGGACTACAGAGAACCTTTTGAAGTGAACCTGTTTGGGCTCATCAATGTGACATTAAATATGCTTCCCTTGGTCAAAAAAGCTCATGGGAGGATTGTCAATGTCTCCAGCGTTGGGGGTCGGATTTCAATTTCTGGTGGGGGCTATAGTCCCTCCAAATATGCAGTGGAAGCCTTCAACGACAGCTTAAGGTACAGTAAATTAATTGGTTTAGTAAGAAATAATGGTTACTAACACTCATTGAATGCTTAATATGTACAAAATATTTAGTACTTCAAATTATTCCCAACTTATAGATAGCATTGAAAAATAAAAGAATAGGTAACTTGCCCAATTTCACCCACCTGGTAAGTGGTAGAACTGAGATTTGAACCCAAATATATCTAATTCTTTAACTCTTTGCACTATTGTATGATGCTGATAGTGATGTTGACTTTAATATTTAATAGGTCAGTTTGTCAAACTGATAAAGGGAATGAACCAGGGAATCATAAATCTGGGTAGATCTCACTACTGACATTACTGTATAGATGTTCCATGCATTTGCGCCACGTTTCATAGCTGTTTTCAAGGCGAGAATGGAAAAGAATATCTCACTTGGAACCAGGATTTATCCCCATCAGTTCAAAGCTCTTGAATTACAAGTTTGGTCAAGGTTCTAGCAGGAAGTGGTGGCACATTTTAAAATTGGGTAAAGAGAATAGAATTTACATAAAGCACTGCTTCCAAACATAGGAAGTGTACAGGGAGACACCCCCAAGTACAGTGTTCTATCAGAGGACAAATGATAGCAGGGACATTTCTATTAATAAAACCAAAGAGACTAGGATACAGAGAAGTTTCTAGAACCTGGAAACACAGAGACTTTTACCTTCATTTGAGGGATGAAATAATCAGTGTTGATACCATAGGAAGAATAACCAGCCCCATCTCTTTCCTCTTTCTGTCTGACCAATGAATGTGCCCAGAGTATGGTTAAACAAGTCTGTCTCTAAGGATATGGTGGGAAGGGATTGGAGAAGCCAATGAAAGATATTTAGCTGCATGATGCTGTGCAAGGCAAGAGAAAAGACAAAAGTAGATACAGTATTTCTTTCAATTAATCTATTTATTTATTAATCTTGTATTTGTTGAAACCCTATATAAGAGTTCATGTCCTAGACCATACATTTAGGATTTGCTTTCTTAGAAAAGGTTAAACTCCACTGATATTAATAAAGATAGGACAATTCCATTTTGCCAAGCAGCAGGTTGCCAAATCTGGTTCTCCTGGGAAATAAACACAATAATATTGGAACAATGTTTCTAAAATCAATGTGCATTTGAAGTGGGTGGGTAGTCAAGTCTTCCCAAACACTCCCCTGGCACCACTACTTCCAGGATTCAAGAATGAGGTAGAGCAAGTGAGTAAACTACAGTTAAGTTGGAAAAATAAGGTTTTATATATTAGTGCAAGTAACATACTGTACAAAATCTTTTAAGGTTAAGCTAATTTTCATTTTTTATTATATATACACATACATATTTATAAAGGTCTATTTACTTATCTGAAAGGCAGAGTTACAGAGCAAGAGTCCATCCACTAGTTTACTTTCCCAAATAGCCACATCAGCCACAGCTGGGCCAGGCCAAAGCCAGGAGCTAGAAGCTTCATCTGGGTCTTCCATGTATATGCAGGGGCCCAAGCACTTGGGACATTTTCCAGTACTTTCCCAGGTACATTAGCAGGGAGCTGGATTGGAAGTGGAGTATCTGGGACTTGAATCGGTTATCACAGGGGATGCTGGTGCTGCAGGCAGCAATTTGACCTGCTGGGCCACAGTGCCAGCCCCAGTAAAGTATATTTTAAACCATAGAATAGTTATTTTGCTAGAAAGCAGTATCTCTTAAGTTAAATCAGATTCTAATTTCACCAGTGGAGTTTCTAAAATATCTGACAGTGGGCCGGTGCTGCGGCTCAACAGGCTAATCCTCTGCCTTGCGGCGCCGGCACACCGGGTTCTAGTCCGGTCGGGCGCAGACTCTGTCCAGTTGCCCTCTTCAGGCAGCTCTCTGCTGTGGCCAGGAAGTGCAGTGGAGGATGGCCCAAGTGCTTGGGCCCTGCACCCCATGGGAGACCAGGAGAAGCACCTGGCTCCTGCCATCGGATCAGCGCGCCGGCCGCGGTGGCCACTGGAGGGTGAACCAACAGCAAAAAGGAAGACCTTTCTCTCTGTTTCTCTCTCTCACTGTCCACTCTGCCTGTCAAAAAAAAAATATATCTGACAGTGAATACTTCCATAAAAGTAGTAATTACATACTTATATATCCCTGGTGGAAGCAGAAATTTAATTTAGAAAATGATTATCCAGATGCTTGTTTGCAATACAGGAGTATACTTTAAAGAAAGGGGTACCATGATTCCTGTAAAAGCTGATGCCTAATAAATAAGTAGGCTTTTGGTTTTCTGCAGCATCATGGTGGAAAAGCTTGCTCAGGAGCACAGGAGGCAGGTTAATCTCATTAAGGCTGATCACACTAGGTCCTTCGGCATAGCCTCATTCCTGCTGCAGTCTGAACATTCCTAGAATGGAGCTGAGCTTGCCCATCTCGGCCATTCATCCATTTAACCATATGGAACTTTGAGTACTGAGAAGAAATTTGTCTCTAACCTGAATACTCATCAATTCAGTGATGAGAAGATGGCTTAGGAATACAGGACTGAGCCCACTCCGATCTCTTCCTTGTTCTGCCACTAACCAGCTCTCACTTTACCACCCTGAATTTGAGTTTTCTGAACTTCAAAATGTGAGGATAGAGCAGGACTCTCACTGGCAATGCACCCAATTCTGTGATCCCATGAAAAGATTCATGAGAAGAAAGTCACCCAAATAGCAAATGATCTGCACATAAGCCTAGATTAAACATCTTCCATGGGTTCTCTTCACAGGCGGGACATGAAAGCTTTTGGTGTGCATGTCTCATGCATCGAACCAGGAATGTTCAAAACCCAATTGTCAGAATCATCCAAGATAACTGAAAGACAACTCGCCATTTGGAAGCAGCTCTCTCCAGACATCAAACAACAGTATGGAGAAAGTTACATTGAAAAACGTGAGTTTCTGGGTAGATGCAGTATCCTCTGAAATTCATTATCCTAAGTAGAATTGAAGGCAATGCAATGTAAATAAAAACACAAAGTTCCCAGGATAATATACCAATAAGATCTTAAAGATGGATCAGGCATCTCAAATGATTCTAGTATCATTTCTTGCTTCTCTGCATGTTATCACCATTTACTAAGTGCCAAGTTCTGTGTGAAGCATCATATAAATTACATCATTTAGTCCTCAAAAGAACAGTTGAAGTAGTGAGCAGAGGCTTGAGAAGGTGAAATGTCCCATCCAAGGTTATAGGACTCCTCCTTGTCACGCCAGGACATGAGTCTTGGCAGGCTGACTCCAGAATTGGTCTCCACACACACCCCCTCTGTGTTAATCATCAAACACACACTCAATATTGTTCAAGGATTTACAGAGGTTACAAAATATAGAGAAGGCTCAGGTTTTGATCCTTATTAGCTCACAATCTAGTTGACAACAAAAAGTACCTAGATGAGACCATGAAATAATGAAACTACAGTATGCAAGAAAACTGATGCTGGGGCCAGCACTGTAGTATAGTAGGTAAAGCTTCCACCTGTGGTGCCGGCATTCCATTGGGTGCTGGTTCAAGTCCTAGATGCTCCATTTCTGATCCAGTTCCCTGCTGATAGCCTGAAAAAGCACCGGAAGATGGCCCAAGTACTTGGGCTGCTACATCCACGTGGGAGACTTAGAAGAGGCTCCTGGCTCCTGACTTTGGATCAACCCAGCTCTGGCTGTTGTGGCCATTTGGGGAGTGAACCAGGAGATGAAAGATATCTTTCTCTATCTAACACTCCCTTTCAAATAAACAAATACGTCTTTAAAAAGAAAACAAAACCACTCCTTCATAAAGGTAGTACAACAGCCTTGAAATGGTGCTAGAGAGTATGGTTCATAATTGTCCAAGGAATTGAAAACAAGAAAAAAAAATTGCTGGTTAATAGGACAGGTCAGGTTTGAACAAGGCCTAAAGGACATGAAGGAATTATTTGGGTGGAAATTTTCTTTTTTTTTTTTTTTTTAAGATTATTTATTTGAGAGGTAGAGTTACAGACAGAGAAGAGGGAGAGGCAGAGATAAAGGTTTTCCATCCACTGGTTCACTCCCCAAATGGCTGCAACAGCCAGAGCTGGCCAATCCAAAGCCAGGAGCTTCTTCTGGGTCTCCCATGTGGGTACAGGGGCCCAAGCACTTGGACCATCTTCCACTGCTTTCCCAGGCCATAAGCAGAGAGCTGTATTGGAAGAATAGCAGCTGGGAGATGACCAGTGCCCAGATGGGATGCTGGCACCAAAGGCGGAGGCTTAGCCTACTATACCACAGCACTGGCCCCTGGTGGAAATTTTCTGGAGCAGAAATATGGAAGGGTAAATGGAAGGAGAGGTAGAATAAATCAAAGTGCTGAGTCAGGAATGCAGGAATAACAATAAAGATTAGATAGTGAAGACTGACATATGGTAGACATTTAGTAGGCTCTTGTCGCTATTCTAAGTGCTTTAGTGGACTCTTTCATTTAAAATCCCCCAAATAGGGGCAGGCTTTTAGCACAGTGGTTAAGACATCACTTGGGACATCCACATCCCAGGTCAGATTGTCTGGATTCATGTTCTGGCTCTGCTATTTCAGCTTCCTGCTAATGCACACCCTTGGAAGCAGAATGTAATGGCTAAAGTAGGTGGGTCCCTGTCACCCACATGAGAGACGTGGTTTGAGTCTGTGGCTCCCAGTCTTGACCTGGTCCAGCCCTAGCTGTTGTGAACATTTTGGAAGTGGGTGTACTCTCTGTTTCTGTGTTTCTCTCTGTCTCTGTTTCTCTGCCTTTCAAACAAAGAAAAAAAAAATGGGAAAAGTTCCCTGAATAAATTATATTAAGTACAGACTATCGTCACCTTCATTTTTTAGAAGTAGATCCATAAAGAAGTAATTTGCTCAAAATTACACTGATAGTAAGTGAAAGAGCTAGATTTGCACACAGCAAGTCTGACTGCCATTTATTCTTGGCCGCTGGCCACTATGCTATAAACGGGGCATTAAAGACTTTGGTCAAACCGCCTCTATCAGGACTCGTATTCCATCTCAAACTGCCTGACCCTGCTTATGTTTACTCGGTATTTCTCAATACTCACTGAACTCCTGCTTTGAGTTGAACAGTGTGCCACCTCAAAGTATATTACTCCATCCCTCTAAATTGTGAACCTGCTTCTTTGTCAATGGACATGCTAAGATAGACTAAGGTAAGGTTTAAGGTTTGGAGTTCTCAAGGTAGAGCCAAGAAACAGGTCAGGCCCACCTGGAAAGGTTTTGTAAATGGCTGTTGTCCCAGCCATCACCACTCATCACACGTGTACACACACACGGACACACAAACACAGATGTACACTCATTATGCATGTATATCTACTAAAATGTCTGGTTTGACAAACCTCCTGTAATAACATGTCACACTGTTGGTTTAGACTACTGTTT